TTAACAGAATTCCTTATCCGAATTTCTGGTTCGCAGACTGTAATACAGAGTCATTCTTTTCCTCGATTCGGGATTAAATTGGTGACTTGGGACACCCTAAATCTCCCAAGTGGTGACTCTTAAATAAATAAACAAATCCTGTTTCGATTGTCCTTTAATTGGAAAAACTCCTACGCCCCTCGCGGGGGCGACAGAAGGAGGTGTGACACCTATAGAACATGAATATTGTTGCCTTGTAGGAATCGTTGAAACATTTTATCCAATATCTTCGAGGTTTGAAGCATAATAGAAATATTTTAAGAGCATGTTCAATGTTATAAAAATTCTTGAAGACGTTGCACTTGAATTCCATGAAAATTTAATATTGATGGCATAGGTACCGGAAAAACCATAATAATTCTTGTAGAATATCCTTGGCTTGTGCTATTAAATGTGGCATATTGGATATTTTGGATCTAACAACCCGATCGGTTGTTTTGAGCTTTTGCATTTTGCTCGCCAGTTCTCGGGCATGACTTGTCCCATGTGATGTATTATGACTTATGTAAATCGTTGGTTTTGGTTTTCAGGGTAATCGGAATAAATTTGGAAGAATAGTTCCCAGTTTGAAGCTTGAATTTTGAAAGGTTTGACCAAGATTTGACTTGTTCGTGTATGATCACGGATTGAAATTTTTATGATTTGGTTAGCTCCGTTAGGGGCTTTGAGACCTAGGAGCGTGATCAGAATGTATTTTGGAGGTCCGTGGAAGGTTTAGGCTTGAATTGGCGAAATTGGGATTTTGGCGTTCTCCGGTTGATAGGTGAGATTTTGATATAGAGGTCAGAATGGAATTCCCGAAGATGGGGTAGATCTATGGTGTCATTTGTGGTGTGTTTGCAAAATTTCAGATCATTCGGATGTGGTTTGGTATACATTTTGATCGAAAGCGTAATTTGGAAGATTTTGGAAGCTTATGCTTGAATCCGATGTGTTTTGGGTGATTCGATGTTGTTTGAGGTTTTTTGAAGATTGGTACAAGTTTGAATGGTGGTATGTGACTTGTTTGTGATTTTGGTTGAGGTCACGGGGGCCTCGGGGTAATTCTGGATGAGTGACGGAAGAATTGGAATTGAGTTTTTGCAGGTGAAGCATTTGGTTTCTGTCATAACCGCACTTGTAGTTGGGTGGCCGCAGGTGCGATTATCGCAGAAGCGGAAAGCAGCCGCAGAAGCGGCCAAGAGGAAGTTCTTCAGGAACCGTAGAAGCGGTGAAGTGGGCGCACCTGCGGTAGCGCAGGTGCGGCTTTTTAACCGCAGATGCGGTGGATTTGGTCTCAGAAGCGGGAAATGGACTGCAGGTGCAAAAATGCCTGGCTCAGAAAGTATAAAAGGTTCCTTTCACGATTTTGAATGGGTTTTCACCATATTTCATTTGGGAGCAAGCTTTGAAGAGCTAATTGAAGAGGGAATTCAAGAGGGTTTCATAGAGGTAAGATTTTTGGACCCTAAACTTGTTTCTATGATGAATTTTAACATTTGTAAGCTTGAAATCCATGGAAAATCAGTAGCAAAAATGGGTAATTAGGGATTGAGCTTAAAAGACCTTTGAGTGGGGCTTTGAGTGGCCATTTGAGGTCTGATTTTGATGTTCCTGATATGTATAGACTAGTGGGAGGATGAGGATTATATTGATGTGATTTTTGTCGGATTCCGACATATGTGTTCGAAGGCCGGGTTTGAGAGATTTCGGGATTTTTGATGTAAATGGGATATTTTCGAGTGGGCTTTGTCCCCATAGCATATTTTAATGGTTATGTTCTAATTGTGGCTAGATCCAAAGGCATCTAGTTGTGGAATGGTTGGTGAGGGCAAAGGTATCACGGGCTAGAGTTTGGACCGGATCGTGGTGAGTAATGGTTGTAAATGTTATCATGAGGGTATGAAACCCCGGATTGCACATCGTGTGCTATATTGAGGTGACACACACACTAGATGAAGAGCGTGGGATCGTGCACTATTGGAGATTGTGACTTAGTCCATCCTGAATGACTATTTACCGTGTATTTGACTGAAACTGATTTGTGAACATCATATTTTAGGTTGAATGCCATATTTTGGCCTAGTACCACTAATGTTTGCATTTGGGGTGCGACCCTTCCATCGACCCTGCAAAAATAAGGAATGTTTTGTGCACTGGAGTGCCCTTTTACGTTGCACTTGCATAGCAGTAACATTCAAATATTCATAACAGATTTGTTTCTTGAAATAGGCAGTTTGTAATTGCTGTACTGATTTATGGAGGAATAGGCAAGTTTATTAAAAAATTCTATTAAATTCTTCTCTATTAATTTCAGTAGAATTACAAAATACAACTACTGTAATTTGGGGATATTCTGAGCTTGATGGTGAATTGATTTAGGAGTATTACCACCATCTTAATCCAGTCATCTATCAAAAAATCAAAGAGGAAATTCAAGTATATATGGGGGTGGGGGAAGGATTATAGTACAGCAAAAAAGAACTAGCCCCATTGTAGGGAACATCATTTAGAATGGCTAAAACAATTAAATTGGTTTCTCTAGGGCTTGACTGTTGTATAATGTTTTTCTTGTTGCAGTTGTCAACAGACAGGAAGATCTACTGGAGGAGCTTCCAATGATTCCAATTCACTAACTCCATTTTCGACGATGAACGCCATGCCCAAACCCCAGCCAATGTGAACATCCAAGTGACAATGCATTAGCCACACTCCTATTTACGTGAACATTGTAAGTCAAATTGTATAGAAAAGAATTTGAAATGTTAGAGAAATAAGTATGTAGTTGTTTCACTTTATATTCTGTTACCTGGATTGTCTGCAACAAATCTGATGACTGTCCATCCTTTGACGGGTACACTGGCCGTATTTCTAAGAGGTGGATCAACAAGGTTGAATTTAGCTGTATCTCTTTTTTGATTAAAGTTGCCGAAACCCTCTGCAATGATGTAAAAGTCGTATCCGTGGAGATGAATTGGGTGGTTTTCAGCTGTGAAGATACTTGTCCCCTGTAACACAACTTGCACTCTTGCCCCATATTTCAGCTTGTACAGCTTCGTTCCTCGAATAGGTTGCCATAGTGATCGGCTTACATTGCCAGTATAATCAAATTTTACAGGTGGTTTTGCTGGGAAATCAGTTGAGAAAACACCAGGTATGCCTTGGTGATGTGCTTGTAGCAGGGAATAGTTGGATGGTAGTACAAAAGATACATTGTTCATACTGGCAGTGAATCGAGTTCCATTTGGACCTTGACAGTTTCTGGAGCGAGCACCTCTTGGGCAGTTGTTGAGTCCTAGCCCGACTGTGAAGAATAGATTTTCGTCAATTTCAGTGGGCACCTCGACCTTTCTTGGGCTTCTGAATTTGGTTGTGAAGGCTGTAGCAGTGGCCGTGTCATTATATGCCGGTAAAGATGGGGAAACTGGATTGGTCTTGGCACAATTGAAAGAACAAGAAGCTGCCTTGTACTCTAGGATGGCTGTGGTTGTGGTATTATCAAAGGGTGCACCTTGAGCGCTTGCATAGGCACGTGCTGCCATGTAGTATTTGGCTGGTGGCTGATCGGCGATGATTAGGACATCAGTTGTCTGGCCTGGTCCGAGCATAAGGACTGATGTAGTGAAGGGTTTAACATAAGAGGCATCTGCTCCAACAACAGTAAGCTTATGGTTGGCCACAGTAAAGAAAAGTTGCTGATTGAGTGCAGCATTGATAACTCGAAGGAGGTTCGTTTCACCAGCGTCCACATGCACTATGGTGGTATCTGCATTAACATGATTTCTATGAAAACATGTGCTAACAGGTAAGATATGAATTCATAGATTACTGCTAGCATAACATTGTTAGGTGGAAATTAGTCTTTATACTATGTGTAAACTTCAAATATTTCGAGATTAGAACTAACCTTTACTTGAGCACTTGTAGAGATCACCTGGTTGGCCATTGATGGTGTAAGCATCAGATACATTAGGAGCTGCTCCTGTTCTTGATGCTCGTCTTACAACATCAATCGGGTTTGTATCCCACCACTCACCTAATCATCATCGTCAAACTATCATTTCAGCAAAATTTCTAAACGAAAACAGAATATATTACCAAATGCATAACTAGTACTCTTCTTTTTCAGAAATGATAAAAGCTTTTGGTATTGAAGAGAAGGTAGAAGTAGTACCAAGCATAATTGGTGTTTCTCTTTTGGGCTTAGCAAATGGATAGGATTCGCCTTCTTTTGGATGGATAATTAGAGCTCCATAAACCGTAGCCCTGAGCCACGAGCTGTGAGCGTGCCACCAAAGAGTTCCTTCCTGTCCTTGAATTGTAAACCGGTAAGTGTAACTCTTTCCTGGTCTAATTGGACACTGAGTGACAAATTCTGGTCCATCTGCCCATGCTGTTCTCATTTGCCTTACTCCATGCCTTTTGATACAAAACAAAGTAGTATAAAAATGTCAAATAAAATATCATTACATATAATCGCGTCTGCTTTATTGACCAACATATATCAGTTCATTTGAATTTTGCATGCATGAATTTACCAGTGAATTGTGACATTATATCGAGCTTTATTGACAACGTTGACAACTAGAGTGTCCCCGTTGTTTACTTCCAATGTTGGTCCAGGGAATTGTCCGTTCACCGTTATGGTGTTGTGAGTTTTGCACAGCCTCTTCACTGATGTTGCTTGAATCTGTTACAAGAAAACAGAGGTCAGTATCACAAGTGTTTGTAAAATTTTACGATATGTTAGCAAACAAAGAAGGGAAATCTTGGATAGCTTACAACAAAATCATGGTAGTGAACTTTTCCAAATGCTGCATTTGCCAAGAGAAGCAAAATGCATATAAAGAAGAAAGAACTCAAAGGGTTAGCAATGCTGTTGAATGCCTCCATTCTTTTCCTCTTCTTTAAACTCTTTTTGAGGGTTAGCAATGGTTGTTTGTGAAAGATAGTAGAGTTGAGGCTATGCTTTTATAGGGAGAAAAGAAGAGAGAGAAGTAAGTAGTCTGAGGTTGACATATTATATTTTCAAAATTTAGTTCAACTCTGTAGGCTGTAGAAGCAGTTGGTTCACCCACTTATCCTATATCTGTAACTGCAGAAATTTACATGAATAATGCTTGTATTATAAGTCTTTTTCTTTGAGTTTGTTATATTCACAATTTTCTAGGAAACATCATTCTTATGGTTTTTGCTTAATACTAACGATGTGATGTTATCCAACAAACTTTGGTGTTACGATTATATATACCATGTATCCTAGCTAGTCTATAAAAAAACTGAAGGAAACTCCTGCTCTTTGTTAAAAAAACTGGTGGAAAAAAAAAATATACGCACGGTCGTTGTTTACATCAAATAAATAAATGCATGACATGTGTCTTTCATATGTATTTTTTTGCTAATCATGGTTAAAGGAATACTGAAAAAAGAGACGAAAAAGAAGAGTGGCTATAGAAATATTAAAGCACTTCTCGCCCCTCGCCC